CTTTAGGTATCTTCTAATCTTACGGAAGAGAGAGACATAGAGAGAGAAGAGAGAGAGAGAGAGAGAAAGAGAGAAAGAGAGAGAGAGAGAGAGAGAGAGAGGGAGAGAGAGAGGGGGAGAGAGAAAGAGAAACAGAGAGACAGAGAAAGACAGAGACAAAGACAGAAGTACAGAAATAGAGACAGACAGACAGACAGAAGAATGAAACAAAACCAACTGGACAGCGCAGCCACCAGCCACCCATTTCTCGATAGTCAGTTGACCGTTCTCAGCCAGGCAGAAATCCTACCCCCAGTCCGTCCCAGCCCGACCGTCGTATGGATCAACAGTTGGCCAGAGCGTAAATCGCCTGCGTCTAATCAGCGACCGGTCCAGATTATCTCAGGGGCCAACGCCCTCAGGGCCTGCTGGACCTCTCCTCTCTCTCTCTCCCGGTCGCCTTAAACCCGGCGCACAGTGCCAATCGAATTCAGTAGAATCGATTCGAATTGAGTCGGGGCCGGCCGGATGTACCTCCACGAGGACAAAAGCTACCACTACCAAGTGCATACTGCCAATATGGAGCGGAGGAAAAGTATGGTTGGCCCAGACTCCATTCGACTGAATTCGACTGGGAGTGTGCGCTGGGTATTAATACCCTACCACAATCACAGCGCGAAGCAGAGTAACACTACCACACAGGATCCCCTGACTCATTACAGGGCTGTCCCGTTATTAAGTGAGGCAAATCTATACTAGTGATTTTGATAACCGCAAAGGTGGCTAGATTGTTTTGGCAAATTGCTTGAAATTCCGCTTCCAGGAGGCCACTTTCCAATAGATTTATATTTCTGGGTGGTGCACGTGGCGAAAACTGTTTGATTTAGGTTCAATTGACTCGGTTTCATTTAATTTTAGTTGAGAAAATCGGTGTACTTAGATTTGGAGAAAAACCTACATCCCCATCTTTACCTATTTCACGGTATCGTTATCTCCCCTTTTCGGTAGTCATTGAAAATACCTCGTGTCTGAGTCTAGTTTTATTTTATTTTAGTATGAGTTTTACAGCACTTGCAACATTAGGTTATATAAGTGCCGAATATAAGTAACAAACATGAAAAAGAAAGAGGAGAGATAAAGACATTACGTTTGATATGAAAGAAGGAGCAAACCACACTAGAGCACCCGCCAACCACCCGCATGTGCCTGAGTACGAAAACTCATTGAGCTCTACGAATCAAGACGTTCGAAAGGAAACGTGTAGCAAATACAATTATAGCAGCATGTGACCTGCAGCTGGTGGACTACAGCCCCGTACTAGTCAATGTTAGCTAACAGCTTAGAAGCTTAGAAGGAGAAAAAAAGTAAGGGGCGTAAAAATCTAATCTGGACTACTAGGCACTAACACGATTGTTCTTGTCCGTGTAATGAGTAGGATATATCGGTCGAGTTGCGGACCAACACTGACACACACACACACACAAACACACACACGGAAAGAGAGAGAGAGAGAGAGAGAGAGAGA